GAAATTTCTCTCACTGTCTGCCTGAAATGAGACAAATTAATGAGAAAAGACGTATAATTTAACAGCATGCTTTTGCATAGTCCATAACTTCTTCAATTTTATCAGTAGGGTGTGAAACAACAGACAGAAAAAGGTATTATAGACAATAGTTTCATGATGTATAAATGTGCTTGCATATATACACATTGTGTAAACGGGATAAACCGGAAGAATTAGCCAGGTAACGAGATATCTAATTTCATTATTTAGTGTAACCAGGCACGAAGGAATACGTGAAATAATATAAGTAAAAATTTCTATCCACTAGAGCTAAAACAAACTGTATTCAAAGTATCCCGGAGTCTTAAACATAGGCACGGAAGCTAAGGTGGTGAGCTGTAGGTGTATTTGGAAAGAATACAAAACATGCTATATTTGACTGGATGATAATTTTGATTGTAAACTGTAAGCAAGCACCTCTAAAGAGCTACTCAAATGCAGTTGGGAGTAGTGATGACACCTAGAAAGAACGGTATGCCATCTCTCTTCATGTTTTACAAGTCTTCACCGGTACACAAAAAATAATCTGGAAAATGAGTCTGCTAATGTCGTCTGATATGATGATTAATTTCATCTTTCATCACTGACCTCAATGATTAAAAAGCCTAAAGAAATTGGTTCATTCATGAGGAAGATGAAAAGTGATCAAATGATCAAATGAACCATAAAAGTTAATAATGATGGGTAGTGGCTAGCAGTGGAACACTTGACGTGCGTTTCGTCCTGACTGGGACTCGTCAGGTGGATGCACCTGACTCCTAGCGGGCGATTTTGTTCTCACCGAGACTTGAACCTGGGATCAATCACTTCAAGCGCCGGAGCTTTAGCCACTAGACCTATGAGTCACGATAATCACTTCTTGTGAGATGCGTACAGTTTTTATGTTGTTGCTTGTATTAACGTGCCCTCAGTTGGATCATTAGTCACTATTCATCATTGCCATAAATCAGCGCAGGAGCCCAAATGCCGATAGAGACTGATCAACTGGGTCCAATCAACGACGGAATAATACAAGTAATGATAAAAAGTTAGTTTTTACGTAAATGAGGAATTTCAAATCTATTCAACTTTAACCCGATTCTGTTGTTGTTTTACAACATCCAAATGGTTGAATTTTGCTGTAATATTGACTTTCTATAAAAGTCCGAGTTAAAATGCAATTCCGCAGCCATTTAAAAGTTTATTTAATTTATAATGGTAGTTTATACAATCTGGTTGCTTATACTTTGCTAGGGTGTGTACCAGTAACGCAATGAGTTGCAACTGGATGACAAACCCGGGTAACCAAGGTCCTGCAAAGCTAACAAACCAACTAGATATCCGTATCCTGAACTGTAAGCTGTTATACAGGTACTGCAAGTACCGTTTTAAAATGTCAGTTGACAGCCTAGACTGGAGAAAGTGAAGTGACCAAGTTGCTGGAGATAAATTCTTTACACCACTGAACTACACCTTCACCTGGTGGAGAATGTCAACAAAATCTACAACAAAAGTAAGCTGGGCAACCAAGTTTCAGTTAGTGCAGGACGTGACATCTATATATCACTTCTGATCACCACTACAACTTTAAATAGTTCTTTAGATAAGGAAGTAGTTTTCACTATGAACTCATATCAGCTGGAGGAACAATGAAAACCTAAGTGTACTGGGTAGTTTTTTCGTCCTTTTTGAGACTGCCCAACAGTGGGCATCCATGACCCCCTTCCAGAAATCAACCTCAGACGACACTGAGCTTGTTATCATAAAGATACTGATCAGCTAACGCTTATTTCTGTCAATTTACTATACAGCACGACCGTCATCCACTGTCATCAGTTGGCATACACCTCACTCTGAAGTTGTTTGATCATACAATTTGAAAACTTTATCACAACACTAGACATTAATGAGAACTGGACTAACACCCAGTGTTGTGTAGCGGCTGACAGCTACTGAAGTGTCTCAAGTTAGGACAAAATAGTTATCCAACAGTGTTAGGTTTTCAAAGGCTTTCCAGTAGATATCACTCCATGATGAAATCATTCTTTTAAAAATCAATACCTGCAAATCAGAAATTGAGTGCTGTGGATGCTGAAAAATAGCCAAAAATTATTTAATATATCTAGCCTGAAGGCTTGATGACGTTCCTGATGATTACTCACTAAACAGGAGTAACATTAAAGCTTACCATAACAACTGTTAAGACAGTCAATTACGTTTCATTATTCTATGAAAAACTACCTTCCTAGCCAAATTATTAAAACCTGATTTGTTATTTCAGGAGTTAGCAGGTGTTTGTTAAAATCACTCCTATATAGGTATCATATGGATGTTGTGACTTTAAAGGCCACCCTAGCAACTGATGAGGCAGTCAATTACATTCCTTTATTCTATGGGAAAATACTATTCCAGGTGAAATACCAGAGCCTGATTGGTCATTTCAGTTGTTTCTAAAGTGGGCTTTAAAGTCGCCTTATGAATGGATTAATGGGTTGTGTGTGCAGTCCTCATGACACTCTTAATCTCTCTCTCTCTCTCTCCCTCTCTCTCTCTCTCTCTCTCTCTCTCTCTCTATATATATATATATATATATATATATATATATATATATATATATACATTATTATTATTATTATTATCCCAGCAATTAAAATAATACTCTTATGAATTCGTGAGTTCATGCACCTACTGCTGAAGTGTTTGAAATACATGAACTGTATGAATAGCAAGAATTGATTCAGACCTTGTGAATACGGAACTGCAAACACAACTATTTATCTTCCTACTTGGATTTGACCGCATAATGCCTACATGTTAGTGATTGAGAACACCACTCCATAACCCTGTTTTAAAAGCAATGCAGTGACTTATTTATCACCTAGTTAGTCAATATCACTAAGGGATCTGGCAGTACTCTGTAGTGTTGCAATTTTCTACATTTCACAACACACAGAATAGGAGACAGGTAGAAGAAAGAAAAAGAATTAGCAAATATTTGTAATCTAGTGTTTTAGTAAGTCACGTGGTGAAAAGAAACAGAAGAAAGGGATGTAAACATGGTGAAATGTAATACGACGACCTGGAGAGATCGATTCTGAATAGCATCACTTACAGTCTTTAACCACTGGTCTCGATCATCATGTGGACTCCTAAAATGGAAGACTTATTTAGAAACTGACCTAATAAAATTTCATAGAGGTCATGAATAACTGTCAGTTGTAAGACTTGGACAAGTACAACACTCTAAGTACTGACTAAGAACATTTGAATGTTAACAAAAAATTGCACAACCATTTATCACACCTTTCAGTAAATATTTTGCCTCACTTGAGTACAAAAGATCGATAATTTATCTTATTAAGTGATTATATTTGACTCTTCTTAAACTGGTTCACAAACGTCGATCAGCACTATGTACATTCACTTCAGATTTATTGTCTTCATTCACACGACAAAAATGTCAATCTGATCTAGTTCCGTAAAACAGAAGCAACAACCTTCAACATTTGTAACTCGATGTGTACATTATAATGCCGTTTACATCTGTATAGGCTCTGGAATAACTATTGGCAGATTTTTTTAGTAGTAAAACTTACAATAACTACAGTAGGCAAATTTAACAAGTTTGAACGGAAACTTTTGCATCCATCAATACGCTAAGAACGTTGGGAATATGGAAACGTTGGCTCAGGAGATGGCATTTTCAGTAGATAGTAAGTAATATATAGGAAGCGCTAACTGTTAGATAGGAATAGGTTTATCCTGGTACTTTAATTCCCACTGACGTCTAGAAATCATTTAGAAAATTTCATTTTTTTAACAGTACTTTGTGAACCAAACTACTCTTGTTCCTTCTAAAAATAATGGAGCTTAACGCATTCAAAGAAGAAACATTCAAGGAACATTCCGACAAAAGTTATAATGCCGTTACTGATATGACCTAAAAGATAGTAATTTGAGGCTGGATCTTGGAATTTTTCTCTTTAATATCAGTGTGTATAAACAAAAGCATCTTCCTTATATTTTAGCTTTTTCTTAATGGAAACATCATTAGTTAACGGTATAACGAAATGCAATGAACCTTGCAATAGCGTGAAAATTGCAATGTACGTTTTGACCGAACAGGTAACTTGGTTATGCTCAAAAACCCGAAGTGATTAATTTTGAAACTCACACTAACTATTACTGTGAACAATAAGGCTTATCCACCAGAACCGTCCAAACAAATTGTAATTTAAAGCAAGTTGTAAAAAACTATCTCTAGACCTTAACTAATCTGATTTAGTTTGAGGTTTACGGAGATTTTATTTGTAAAGAAGTATTCATTATGGACTGACGTCAGTTGGGGAAGCGTTGAAAATCTTGGGGCACTTGATAGCTGTTTCGTCCTAGTATTGGACTAGTCAACAGTGAGCACCAGTGGTCCCATCACGGATCGAAATCATGAACTTCAAGTTTCACGTCGAACGCCTTAGCCATTCAACCAGTGGGTCGCAGCCCAGTGGTCTACAGTTTCCTATTTCTGTCACTTTATGATATATTGTGACTATCCACTGAGGTCTTAAGTTAGCGTCCGTTTCATTACTGTAAAGTGCTCATTAGTGACGTTTTGAGACAGACATCTTGAACTTTTATTGAGAAACCATGACATGTGGAGTTAACCAGTCAGATATGAAGCGAATGCTAACTGAAGACCATAGTGGATAGTCACGTTACATCGTGAATCAACAGAAGTTAGAGACTATGAACTACTGAACTCAAACCCAGTGGCTGGACGAATGAGGTGTTCACCGTGAAACCTGAACGTCCAAAGTTCAATCCCTGGTGGGGTCATGGGTGCGTACTCCTTAGGAGTCCAAAACTGAGATTGTCCAGTCCTAACAGGTTTTCACTGGTTCTCTAAATGATATCAGTCTAGGATGAATACTGCCTTAATCTAAACTAAACAAAAACCGTAATGTAACAATCAACACGCTTATAATTCAAAAGTTGATAATGACCATTTCTAAAGAATCTATGATGTAAAGATTATAAAATGAAAAAATCGTTTTCCTAGAACATCTCAAAACCAACATGAAAAAGAATTCAAACCTACCTGAACTAAACAGAATCAGCGCCTTTAAACAAACATATTCAGACTGATCCAGATGTAATTGTTGTAAGCGTTCCAGTTGATCTTGAAAACAAGCAGAATAGTCTTGATGCCCTGATAGTGAACTAGTCATATCCTTTAAATGTTCCAATGTTGGTTTGAACTGCTCATCACTATTTACTTGTTTATAGTTGACTATTTCTGGACATTTTGATTTTGCAAGCAATAAATCATCAACTGAATGATTGGTCTTTATGGAAGACGAATGAACAGTGCAGTTTTTTCCTAATTTTCCGCCTGACGGACTTTGTATACTATCATCATTAGTAGTAGTAGTAGCAGTACGATTAGATGATGAAGGAATCCCGGTACTGTTATATGTTTGAGCCAAATAAAGCATAAACAATTCTGGCCATGAATTGGTGAACAGTATCAGTTGATCACTAGGCTGTAAATACATAGGTAAAGTAACAGCTACTCTAGAGACAATTCCATACAGATACAATATGACTTTAATTGCTTATGAAAAATTTAAAAATTCTGTGGTAAATGCAGGTAACAATTTCTGTGCCTGAAACTCCACCAGTTTGTAGAAGCTATGGTGATTCATATTATGAACTGAAAAAAAATTTGTTAACTCTCCGCCGTTGCAACAGCTATGACCACCTATAAGTACATTTTACTTTCATTTTACTCTTTCATCTACTCACTAGGACATTACCTCTTCTCCCGTATCACACTTTTTGTCGCTTAAAATTATGATTTGTCATTACATTTACCAGTCCCTTTAACCATATTACAACACTTAATAACTTAGTATTACTTCGGTTGTGATAAGTTGTCTTCTCATTACTCCATCAAACACTATATAATTCCTTTTTCGGATGTTAACTCAAAATCAAAACTGAATTATGTTCAGAAATATTTTATGAAACATAACGTCTTCATTGCCATACCAGTATAATATTTATACGTGATTGCATAGCTTGAGAATAATATAGGTGAAAAGAGTAACCCTAAACGGTGAACCCCTTTTGCTTTATGACTTAGTTACTTTTAAACCAAAGCAATGAGTTTCATTAATATAGGTGTCAAACTCGGGCACTGCAATACGATACAGTTTATATTGCATTTATTTATTTGATATAACACAGTGTGATACAGTATTATTCCATGTGATGACTGTGAGGTTAGATATATAGGTCAAACTAGCCAGCCGGGGTCAATTAGACTCTCAGAACATAGGAATCTAGTTGAATGTGGAATGACAGACCTTAATACGACCAATCATCTAGATAAAACTCGGCTATTTCAAGGCATGTACTAACACATAACTATACACTAGTGTGAGATAAAATCACTGTACAAAATAATTAGATAGAAAGAGAGTTCATCGAGTCAACACCCGACACATATAACAGAAATAATGCAGCACCTATACCAGAGATATGGAAAATCTCACTACCACTAAAAACAAAGAATATGAGGTAAAATCATATTTGGAAGCTGTATGATTACTTTGATATGATTAGGAGCGATAATTTAAACTCGAAGCGTCATCAAGTAAAGAACACTACATGACTGTGTACACCCAACAACTAAATCCAGTATGGAATTGAAGTTCTGAGTGTTTATCACCTAGTTCAGCCATCAAGTTCTTAACGCTCACTGGAGTCTAGTTAATAAGTATTCAATTTGACTACTAACCTAGACGACAAACTTTTGAAGGTATTCGGCTGAGAAATTTCGACAAGTATGAAAACTAGCCTGTTGAAAATTTTATAAGTGAGCTTCAGTAGACAATGAAGACTTGAGAGTCACGTTAATTACCTTTCAACAGCCATTATGCATCAATAACTATTTGGGCGATAAAGCTATTGACTTCGAAAGTGAGGAACGCTAGCTAGAATTTCAGGTTGCAAATGCACCATATTAATAAGTATCGACAAGTGAAAAACTTAGATCTAGAGATTCCTATCGATAGATTTTCTAGTATCTGACGTTCTGTATGTATTGGTATTAATCCTAATCATCAGAAGAACAAAACTAATTGAAGTATCACTGTAAGGTAGAAGTTCCTACTTCTGGTCAAATGAACACTTCGCTGTATAAAATCTACTTTAATTCAATAGTCGTATTTCTAGGCACCTCAAACACTAAATGCATGTTCAACGTTTAACTTTGTTTTATTGTAAGCTTATTATAATAACCACAATAATAACTGATTGTTAGAAAATTCATGTCAGCAGTGTACTTCAATATTCAATCACTTGTAATTACTGAATACATACTGGCGGGAAAATAAAATTTACGCCCAGCATGAATTCTTTGCACAGTTTGCTTTAGGCAACAAATTTTCATGGGATTTCGAGTTATTGTTATTGTTCCACTTACTGGCACGAGTTGTGAAACTAGTGAAACAATCATAGTTCTTTGTTATGTAAATTTCGATTGTGTATGCATTTATGTGCATGTCTTGCTTGATCACTATGTTCTATTGTGTTCTACCGCCTCACGTCATAAATTTGTATTTCGTCTAGCTAGCTGTTAATCTACTAATTAGATTAATTCAAGAGAATAGGGAATAACAATAACAGGAAAGAAGAGAATGAGTGGCCTAATTAATCTTTGACTTTATTGGCCTGTTGCATAATGAAGGTCAACAACACGAAATTCCCTTGTTTCTTTCTCCGTTTCTCTTTTTCTCTCCTCTCTATTCCCAAAGGCCTGTTAGTTTAATAAATCTTGCCTGATTATATACCTATACGTACATATATATATATATATATATATATATATATATATATATATATATATATATATATATATATATATATGGACTGATGACCATACAAAAGCAACCATAATTCATAGTTTTTCACCTAACTTCGACATTAGCCGAATATAGTGTGCCAGGGAGCATCAGATAGCTACTTCTTCCTGGTTTTTGATGCATCCTGTTTAAGGCATAAGTATTGTCGGAATGACCTGTCATTGAATTGATCTCAGTCACTGAAATTATTACGAAACAGTTATTCATTGCTTTTTAGCTTCCACTGGCTCTCTAAACGATGCCATTAAGGGAATAAAATAAAACTGTTTTCAAAATCAATCTATTTTCCAAGAATCAGTTATAAAAATCAATACTTATTAGCGACTGACATTGATGAGTGTTTTTCGAAGCTTTAATACACAGTCATAGTGTAGGAAATCAGCCATGTCGTTTACAATGACAGATAAGTAGCTAATAGTGATGAAGAGAAGTTAGACGACAATAAGTGTTGATTAGAGAAGAAAGGTTCCAGTAACTGTACCCTGATCCACCGAATGTAAAGTATCGAGCTTATCAAAACATGAGATACTGTGGTAGGCAGTAGTAAAGTTTAAACTTTAAGTGAAATAACTGTTTAATGAGTTCTCATTGGTGAAAATTATCTTCAAATCGACGCAGCCTTGTTCTTAGAAGTAATAAATAGAGGTGATATGCAATGTTTCATCGCTTTATTTCATAAAAATGTTTAAGTTCTAGAAATATATTCACTTTGGTGTTAGATGTTGGGAATGAATCGACAGGAAGATCTTAATATAGGTTTTCGTGCATGTCGGCGCCGATCACCGAATCTCATGTGCAACCATGATCAAAGTGGTATCCTTTTAGTGATCCAAACCTGCATCAATCAATAACAGAGTCAGAAACGCAACGGCCAAGTTATTCAGGTCACGAATGACATCTTGTACAACTGGATTATGTGTACGAGTTGATCAGCTGCCAGTAATCTATGTAGCTTTTTGTTTCTTAGTGCATAGCGCTGATCGACATCTGTCCCCTTATCAAGCTCTGTTAGAATAAGTAAAAACGTCTTTAGCACCTTTATTGTTGTCTTTCTTTCTTTTTTGGAAATTATTCGCTGGTCATTGTTATTTCCACTTTTTGTGGCGGTGATAGTTAAAGATACAACTTATGCTCGTCTGTGGATTATAAAATATATCTCCCTTACTTTCAACAAAGATAAAGCACAATCCTGCTTCTTTTACTTTTTAGTGAATGTAACAACTCATAGTTTCCAAAAAGTGTGACAACAGTTTCTGATGCAAGCGGACACCAGCGAAAAAATCTGGAAAGCGTTCTAAACACATTATGTAAATATCTAAGTGCATAGTCCGTCGTAAATCTCTTTCGTAACAGAAGTTGTCTAAATCATTTTAGAAACCTCAGGTTATCGGTAAATGCCACAACGGAGCCTGACCTTTGTACATATTCGACCTCATACTGAAGTCTCTATTCGGCATACTGTGCCAGATATGAACTTCCTAATATTATTCATAACAGTTTCTATAGGCATATAGACCTATTTCGATATGTTCACTGACTTTCATGAAGTAGTCTGACTCGGTGATAACTACTGTCGGTTAGCTCTTGTCAGTTTTGGCAATTACTATGCTGCTGTCATATTACAAATTCTTTCGAGCAGCACTTTCAGTTTCTCTGAATTTTACTTCCCTTATCCTGTTGTTTTAGTGTTAGTGCACACTATGCTAAGATTTGTTCAACAGTTCTATTTTCTACTGAGCTAAATGCTACTTCTTTGCTGGAAATGACATTTTAGGGTTTCAACTGACTGAGTACTGAGGTGAAGTTCAGCCCTTTCTCAAACACTTACACCTCACTTGCGCCTTATTCTCTAGCTGAGAGGTTGATCACCCAACCCATTCTACTGATGATTTGTGATTTCACATTCGCAGTTTCTTCCTCCTCAGTAAGACACTATTCTCCTATCAATTTGTAGAACGTTTTAATTTGGGCATTTCTGGGTTCATTGAAAGAAGCTGATCTGGCTTTGATTGGTATTTGAACTACGATTTCACAGTTTCTGTTATTTAGTGTTTTCATGAGTTAGCATTACAGCTGTTGAACTAGATTTCGGATAACAGAAAGTTATGTGATTATCCTATATATTTCTTCTCTTAGACACTGTCTGGTAACATATTCTCTTGTTGCTTCAACTTTGTCACTTGGTACTGACATACGTAGACAAATGTTAAAAGTACAATGGCTCGTAAATCTAGTTTCAGTTTGCGAAACTTATATGATTCTGCTGACCAACCCTCGAACACGAAGACTATAACTTTTAT